GCGTCCGTGATATATACTGCTCACAGTGGGGTCGGTATTGTTTTCAGTTAACTTAAACAACGGCATTACATCGTAATACCCCCACCCGGTGGCCCCGTATTGGGTCACAAAATTGTCGTAGTCTTTTTGATTACCCCTATATTTACATAAAATTAATCACTAATTACTAATTTATATTAAATTTTTTTATATACAAAACCTGTTGTACATCATCCAGTTAACAGTGGATGTGCCGCCTAATACCTTTCCCTTTAGTATTCCCATGAATACCGGAGATCCTCGTCCAACCCGTTGAGGCACTAGAGAGTAGGACCAAAACTGGCCAACACTAGTAAGTGAAGTTTGCGCGTAAAAACCTGGGTGATCGTTGTTGTAGGCGCTCTGAGAACCCCCGGCCTCCAAAAGTAACACATCTTTTCCCTGTTGTGCTAAACGACAGGCCACTATAGCACCGGCAGATCCTGCGCCTACCACCACGTAATCGTATGTGGATTTTGGTGGAAGTGGCGTTTTATTGGCATAATTATCATGTTGTTGCTGTCTCTGCATTACTATTCCCATTGCTATCAAGTATTGAATGGGAAGTATAGGAGGTGCGGGTGTCGTAGTAGGGGTATCCATTTAAATTGTTTAAAATTTATTTACGCAATAAAATAAATCATAATAAAATAATTTTATGCAACACATTTATTATTATAAACTATTATATTCTATACTATATTATTGAATAAGATAATTTACTTTAATCCAATTAAATAAAATGCTTAAATTGTAATAAATTTATATATTATGAAACAAGTGGTATTATATTTTAGTAGATTTAAAGGAAGTAACTATATATCAGTCATTAAAAATTATAATGTTACACAACGAAAAGTCTACAAGGTACACTTTACACATTTGAGTTCAATGCTATTAAGAGTAGTTATAATTTTAGTAATTTTTTTAATGGGTTTACTTGAATTCATGAAATTAAAAAAAAGTTAATAATTTACAAATAAGTTATAATATAATAATTTCTTTAAAAATTTATTTTATCAAAATAATTTTGTTATTACCAGTTATGGGTTGTCCTGGCTAATCAAAATGGCGCCCTTCTCTCCGGCCAACATCGCCGCCGCGTTTGTGTTGGCGTTGATTATCGTCGGATATATGGATGAGTCGACTACTCGTAAATGTTTCACACCTTTCACTCGTAACCGGGGGTCGACTACAGTGTCTGGTCTGGAAGGGTCACCCATTTTGCAACTGCCCACCGGATGATAATATGAATAACCCATTTGTTCAATTTGGCACTTTATATATTGAGTGCATTTATATACAGGTCCTTTATCGCAATATTTGCAACCGGGTATGGGTTGTGGGTTGACGTAAGCGTACTGCGAAAATTTGGATGTCTCTACGAAACGGTAGGTGTCGGACACCACTTCCATAAATGCCAGTTTGTCGATAGGATTGTCCAAAAATTTGGGATCAATGAGTGGGATATCATAAATTGATGTACTGTTCAATCTCACTGTACCCGTACTTTTAGGTCTAACCAGCGCAGGGAGAAATACATAGGTGTCCATGGTAAGGACGGTTAGCAAATACGTTAACCACTTAACTTGTAAACCTATGTCGATATTGGACTGGCGGTTGAGTTTACTATGAAATAGTTTTTCATTATATTTTGATATATTTTTAGTAGCAATTGATTGGCCTTTTCTAGAATTATTAGTAATAAATTGTTTTGAGAACGAAATTCCATATAAAGCAACATCAGGGTAATCCTTATCGGGGTTAACACTTGTTGAATAGTAATGTATAGGTATGGGTGCCTGTGATAACGGGCCGGCACCCAACACGTCGTCCTCATATAGTTGATTGGGAATAAGCTGTGGAAAGGGAGGGTCCAAACCATCTTGCCTTAGGAATACCGGCATAATTAGTGTCAAATGATCGCAGTATGTGCTGCCGACGGGTAGGTCCGCATAAATGGGTGCGATTCCCTTAGATGTCAAATGATCCTTAGGTCCCACTCCCGACAACATTAGTATTTGTGGTGAACCTATTGGTCCTATTTAAGTTTATACCAATTATTAATTTTAATTATTAAACTTAAAAATAAACATAAATTACCGGCTGATAAAATGACTTCTCTATTGGCTAACACTGTATATGTGATGAGATTTTTAATGAACTGAACGCCGTATGCAATAGGCTTTCCATCCGTGTCCCAACTGATGAGGACTTTACTGACAGTTGCTTTCGTTACTATAGTAACTGTGGGACAGATATTACTCTCGAGATATCCGGTGGCTGTCGATGCTCTCAATCCCCTGTTAACAGTGGACTGGAGTAACATAATGCCCGCCTGTATGGGCCCATTCACGTCAGTGTAAGAAAACCCTTGAGTCGAGAGGGTCTCTAAAAATATTTTATCAATCGGAGAGACATTGGACACCGAGGACACGCCAATGGGACCGTTACGTCCGTGATATATACCGCTCACATTGGGATCGGTATTGTTTTCAGTTAACTTAAATAAGGGCATTACATCGTTATAGCCCCACCCGGTGGCCCCGTATTGGGTCACAAAATTGTCGTAGTCTTTACGGTTACCCCTATTATAATACAAAATTAAATTAAATCTAATATTTGAATCTTAAATATTGACTTACTATACCTATTATACATCATAAAATTTTTAGTGGACGATCCGCCCAATACCCGACCTTTTATTGACCCGAGAAACACTGGCGATCCCTTTCCCACATTTTGAGGGACCACTGAATATGGCCAAAACGATGGACCGCTTAAGACAAAGTTTTGTAGGTAATAACCAGGGTGATCGTCAGTTAAGGAATTCTGCGCACCCCCGGCCTCCAGAAGTAACACATCTTTTCCCTTTTGTGCCAAACGACAGGCCACTATAGCACCGGCAGATCCGGCGCCTACCACTACATAATCATATGAGGCTTTTGTGGGGAGCGGTGTTCTGTAGGCATAATAATTGTGTTGTTGTTCTCTCAGCCATATAATAGTAAATGTCATATAGAGTTGAATCGGTAGCATACGAGGTATAGGTGTTGGAGCTGGGTTATCCATTAATATAATTTTATATTTGTCAAATTATTAATTAATTATTTTTAAATGAATGAAATTTTATTGTTAATTATAAACAATTTATCTATAATATCAACACATTTAAATGAAATTGACAAATTTTAATTATAATTATCTGTAATGTTATTAAATTTATAAAAATATATCAAAGAGCTCAATATTTTGCAACATGTGCTATTAAAGCAATTTTAAACATATTTTTACTTAAACCTTGTTACAAACACTTTAATATTCACTTTAGTAAGGTTTACAGTATATGCTACATAACAGCTAAATGTTACAGTTGCTCACCTCTAAATAATTCTCAAAATAATCATATTATTAATGATTTATTATTTAACAAATATCAGTTCTGTGATAGATCAATTTTAAAAATTATTTTGATACAATTACCAGTTATGGGTTGTCCTGGCTAATCAAAATGGCGCCCTTCTCTCCGGCCAACATCGCCGCCGCGTTTGTGTTGGCGTTGATTATCGTCGGATATATGGATGAGTCGACTACTCGTAAGTGTTTCACACCTTTCACTCGTAGCCGGGGGTCGACTACAGTGTCGGGTCTGGAAGGGTCACCCATTTTGCAACTGCCCACCCGATGATATAAGGAAATTCCGGTTTGCATGATAAAGCACTCTAAATATTGAGTGCATTTATATACCGGTCCCGTATCGCAGTACTTACAGCCGGGTATGGGACGTGGGTTGACGTATGCGTACTGCGAAAATTGGGACGTCTTTACAAAACGAAATGTGTCGGAGACTAACTCCAAAAATGCCTGTCTGTCCACAGGGTTTCCCAAAAAGTTAGGGTCAATGAGTGGGATATCAAAAATGGATGTACTGTTCAATCTCACTGTACCACAACTTTTAGGTCTAACCAGAGTAGGGAAGAGCAAATAATTATCCTTGTTTAAAATGTCTATCAAATAGGCCAACCATTCAATAGATAAATCAATAGTTTGTAATAATTCTATATTGGACAGGTAGTTGATATTTCTATGCGGTAATTTCTTACCATGTTTCGTTTTAGTGACATTTAATTGACGTTTCTTAAAATTTATGGTAAGTCTTGGCAACGAATTTCCATATAGCAAAACATCAGGGTAATCCTTATCCAGATTAACACTTGTTGAATAGTAATAAGTATTTATAGGCGCCTGTGCCAATAAACCGGTGCCCAACACGTCGTCCTCGTATAGTTGTGAAGGAATAAGTTGTGGAATCGGATTAACCAGACCATTTTGTTTTAGAAAAACAGGAATTAATATTGACAAATGATCGCAGTATGTACTGCCGACGGGTAGGTCCGCATATATGGGTGCGATTCCCTTAGATGTCAAATGATCCTTAGGTCCCACTCCCGACAACATTAGTATTTGCGGTGAACCTATTGGTCCTATTTATGTTTATACCAATTATTAATTTTAAATATTAAACTTAAAAATAAACATTAATTACCGGCTGATAAAATTACTATCTATAGCACCGGCAGATCCGGCGCCAACCACCACATAATCATATGAGGCTTTTGTAGGAGGTGGTGTTCGGTAGGCATAATAATCGTGTTGTTGTTGTCTCAGCCATATAATAGTAAATGTCATATAGAGTTGAATCTGTAATAATGGGAGTGTAGTTGTCAGGGCTGGGTTATCCATTAATATAATATTATATTTATTAAATTATTAATTAGTATATTTTGCTTGTAGTATAAACAATAATAGTTATTTCACACGTTATGTAACACTTCACATGTTTACATCTTATTTAAAAGGAAGTAGACTTTTGTTATTTGTATTAGTTTTCATGAATGTTGTATTAATTATTTTGTTTTAGAAAAAAAATTCATTTATAAATTTCGTTTAGGGACTTTTCAAGTATATTTTAAAACATATGCTTTTACAGACACTGAACATGCTGAATTTATTGACACTTAAATCTATTTACGAAATAATCTAACGTTTAACAGATTTATTTGAGACCATATTACAAATGATCAAAACATTTTTCTAAAATCATTAAATTATAAATACAACTTATGTCATAGTGTATATTAATACGGTAATATTGTACGGTATAAGTAATATACATTTGTAAATAATTTAATTCAGTGACTTAATTATAAAATCCTAAGGATTGTCCTTGATAATCATAATGGCACCTTTCTCGCCCACAAGCATCGCCGGTGCATTTGTATTGACATTGATTATCGCCGGATATATGGATGAGTCGACTACTCGTAAATGCTTAACACCTTTCACTCTAAGCCTGGGGCTGACCACAGAGTCTCGCCTGGAGAGGCCACCCATAGCACAGGTGCCCACCGGATGTACGAGTGTTGTACCCAATTGCTCGATGTAACACTTGATATAAGACGTACAATTGTATACCGGGCCAGTGGGACAGTACTGACAATTGGGAATGGGTGGCGGCAACTGTACGTACTGTGAGAAACTGGTGGACTCTATGAGACGGAAGGCGTCGGACACGGCCTCAATGAACACCGTTTGGTCGGTCGGCTCCGCCAGATATTGGGGATCAATACGAGGATGGGTGGCGGCAACTGTACGTACTGTGAGAAACTGGTGGACTCTATGAGACGGAAGGCGTCGGACACGGCCTCAATGAACACCGTTTGGTCGGTCGGCTCCGCCAGATATTGGGGATCAATACGAGGTATGTCCTCAATGTTTGCGGTGTTTAATCGTAATGTACCGCAGCTTTTAGGCCTTACCAAAGTTGGCAGTATATATAGTACATCGTGTTGGAAGAGTGCGCCCAGGTATGCCAGCCAGGCCACGTCGCTAATCAACGGTTTAATTATATTGAATTTTGGCGTAACCTTTGTGAGACTGAAACCACTATTGGCTGCCATATAAGTTATTATATCCGGGTAATCTACATCTCGATTATATTTACTAGAATAAGTGTTTGACACAATGGGAAACTGAGATAATAGCCCGGTGCCCAACACATTAACCTGGTATTCCTGTGCAATATCAATGGGAGATGCTATTGGGTTGGTTAGTCCACTTCTATTCAGTGGTATAATCATCATAACTGAGACGTGATTGCAATACTTGTTGCCCACCGGGAGGTTCGCATATACCGGTGATATGCCTTTTGAGGACAGGTGTGCTTTTGGTCCTACACCTGATAGCATCAGTAGTTGCGGCGATGCGATCACACCTTCAGATAAATAAAATGCTTTTTGTTAAAAAATATATATTATCACAAAAAATAAATCACTTATTACCTGCTGATAGTATAACCTCTTTGCTGGCATTCACTGTATATGTCATATAGTCTTTGGTAAACCTAACACCATATGCGATAGGCTTTCCACTCGTGTCGGTCTTAATTAAAATCTTATTAACTAAAGCACCGGTAACTATCGTAAGTGAGTCACAAATACCACTTTCCAGGTAACCGTTGGCAGTGGAGGCACGTAAGCCATGATTTACAGTTGATTGAAGCAAATATACTCCAGATTGATTACTACCATTAATGTCATTTAATGGATAGCCCTGTTTTTGGGCCCAGTCTATAAATATTTTCTGAATAGGATGAGGCTGTGCGGGTGTAGACACACCAATAGGACCTCCACGTCCGTGATATGTATTGCTTACTGTGGGGTCGCTGTTATTCTCAGTCATCTTGAAAAGTGGTAAAACATCTTCAGATCCCCAACCCGTGGCCCCGAACTCAGACACCAAGTTGTCGTAGTATTTATAGTTACCCCTGGGTTTACAAATAATAATATATTTAATTCTTTTGCTTATAGTTTTAAAACAAATTTTATGTTAAAATATCACATTTAATAAGCATTACATACCGGGTATAAACCAATGTATTAACAGATGACGAACCTCCTAGTAATTTACCTTTAGCCTCCAGTGACAGTATCGGTGGGAATGCCTTTCCAACCCTTTGCGGTACACTATAATATTTCCATATATAAGGTGGTTGCAGTATACCCAGCTCATAATTAAGTAATGGGGATAATTAAAATCTTATTAACTAAAGCACCGGTAACTATCGTAAGTGAGTCACAAATACCACTTTCCAGGTAACCGTTGGCAGTGGAGGCACGTAAGCCATGATTTACAGTTGATTGAAGCAAATATACCCCAGATTGATTACTACCGTTAATGTCATTTAATGGATAGCCCTGTTTTTGGGCCCATTCTATGAATATTTTCTGAATAGGATGAGGCTGTGCGGGTGTAGACACACCAATAGGACCTCCACGTCCGTGATATATATTGCTTACTGTGGGGTCGCTGTTATTCTCAGTCATCTTGAAAAGTGGTAAAACATCTTTAGATCCCCAACCCGTGGCCCCGAACTCAGACACCAAGTTGTCGTAGTATTTATAGTTACCCCTGGGTTTACAAATAATAATATATTTAATTCTTTTGTTTATAGTTTTAAAACAAATTTTATGTTAAAAGATCACATTTAATAAGCATTACATACCGGGTATAAACCAATGTATTAACAGATGACGACCCTCCCAGTAATTTACCTTTAGCCTCCAGTGACAGTATCGGTGGGAATGCCTTTCCAACCCTTTGCGGTACACTATAATATTTCCATATATAAGGTGGTTGCAGTATACCCAGCTCATAATTAAGTAATGGGGCTAATCCTGGATAATCAATGACTTTGGCGTCCTGTGCACCGCCCGCTTCCAACAGCAACACATCCCGACCCGATTGGGCCAAACGACAGGCCACTATAGCACCGGCAGAACCGGCGCCAACCACCACAAAATCATATGTGGACTTTGGGGGAAGTGGTGTTTTATTGGCATACGTGTCGTGTCGCTGTTGCCTCTGAGATATTATTGACAATACAGTTAACAATTGAACGGTAAGTGGTGGCAATGTCTGCAAATAATTCATCGGGTATTAATTTGTTAAAATAAAAATTATGTTGATACTAGCCTGCT